CTTCTAATACTGCTACCACCACCATGATATTATCAATTACTTTAGGCTTACTTCCTTTCAGTCTTTTTTCCTGGGAATGAACATTTTTATATACATTTGTACACACACACGAGATACATACATATACACACATACAAATATGTACACATATATGATACATACATTTATAGACATACATACATAAAAATGTACAGAGACATATATACATATATAAATGCACACTTCATAACCCACTTTTAATATTGAAGGATATAGTAGACTCTCAGCGCCACCACTTGTATGTGACCTTGGAGATGTTATTTAATCTCTTCTGCCTCATTTCCCTCATGTTTAGAATGAGAATACTACTACTACTACTACTACTACTACTAAATCTGCCTTATGGATAATTGGGAGTACTAGAATTGATAATATATACAAAGCACTTAAAATATAACTTGTCAATGTTTTTTATTTTATTACATGGTCTTCCAAATAATAATTTTACTGAACTGACATCCACATTACTAATCTGATCTCGTACTTTTAAGCATTTAGATTGCTTCTAATTTTCCATGATTATAGAAAGCCTTGCAGTGAGCAAATTAATACTCACGGTCTTTTCCATATTTAAGTAGAACTGAGTGGCAGAAGTATGATTACTGGATAAAATGCATGACTGAGTTATGGGCTTTTGATTCAAGCTGTTAAATTGCACCCAGAAGAGGAAGCTTTTAGAGGTGGATGCTTTTTCTAGGCCAACAGAAATGAGCCAGTGGACAGGAAGCCATGAAAACCGTGTGAGTCTTGTACCCCAATGTTCATAGCAGCACTCTCAACAATAGCCAAATTATGGAAAGAGCCTAAATGTCCATCAACTGATGAATGGATAAAGAAATTGTGGTTTATATACACTATGGAATACTACATGGCAATGAGAAAAAATGAAATATGGCCTTTTGTAGCAACGTGGATGGAACTGGAGAGTGTGATGCTAAGTGAAATAAGCCATACAGAGAAAGACAGATACCATATGGTTTCACTCTTATGTGGATCCTGAGAAACTTAACAGGAACCCATGGGGGAGGGGAAGGAAAAAAAAAAAAAGGTTAGAGTGGGAGAGAGCCAAAGCATAAGAGACTGTTGAGAACTGAGAGCAAACTGAGGGTTGATGGGGGGTGAGAGGGAGGAGAGGGTGGGTGATGGGTATTGAGGAGGGCACCTTTTGGGATGAGCACTGGGTGTTGTATGGAAACCAATTTGACAATAAATTTCATATATAAATAAAAAAAATAAATTGTTAAGAAATGTTAAAAAAAAAAAAGAAAACCGTGTGAGTGAGTGTATGTGTATGTTTGTACATGTACATGGGGGTGGGGTGGGGAGATGGAGGTAGAAAACAGAATTTACACGGACACTTCTTGAGTTAGAAGGTAACCTCAGAAATTAGAAAAGCCATGTTATCATTTGAGCAGGTGAGAAAATAAAATGAGTGAAGTTTTTAGAGATGTTTTGAAGCAGGAGGGAAGCTGCTGAAACACAAGCTGGGTGTCCTAGTTCTTCCAAGTAAATGAGGAGACAAGGTTTTGCTCTGAGAATGACTGAAGGGCACAGGCATGAGCTAGGAGTTTAAAGGAGGAGGAAAAGCTTGGGACCGTGGCAATAATTAGAGATAAGGCAGAACACTCTAATGTCACTCACTACCACTAATTTTTAAGCTCTGAATTCTCTGTAGCCTCTTGGTTCCTGCTGGTCATGACTGTCTCAAGAGGTGACAGGGCAAAGGCAAAGTGCCCAGCCAGTTCCCACCTCAGAGGTTCCAGATGTGCAAGATGCTTTTTTTTTTTTGTCTACAGCATATTCTCCTTGGTTGTGTTGTGGGCTGGTGTGATCAGTGTGAAATTATCACTCGCTGTGTTCAGGTCCTCTCCTCTCATTTACTCTGGAAAATGGCTTTTGCTCCTATCTCTTCAACAAAACCACTCTTATTCAGTGATCTCCACCTTGCTAACTCCAGTGGTCAAACGTGCAGTCTTCTACTTGACCCACCGTCTGACCTTCTCTCTTCTTTGAGATACTGGGTTCACCTGGCTTCGAAGGCATCAAATTCACCTTGTCTGTCTTCTACTTTGCTAGTCTCTTAAGTCTCCTCTCCTGGTACCTTCTCATCTCTCTATCCTCTAAAGGTTGGTGTGTCTCATGGCTCACAGCCCCTGAGGTGACTTTTCGTTTCTGTCCACACTCACTCCCTTGGTCTTTCAAAATACACCCAGAATCTATCCACCACATCACGATGACTGCGATGCACCACTCTAGGAGGAACTGTTCACATTTTAGTCTATGGGAACAGTGCCTCTAGAGTAGTGCATCATACAATCTGCAAGGAAATACATGCTGACTCTGGTATCACCTTGTTCAAACCATCATCATCTTAACTCCAGATTATTGCAATAGCCTCTTAACTGCGGTTCTTCTTTCTGCCATTGCCTGCTTACTGTCTATTCTCAACATAGCAGTTGCTTCAAATTTCAGTAAGTCAGATCACTATTCTACTTAGAACCCTCAAATGGATTCTCATCTCATCCATATTAAAGGCAGAGTTCTCACAATGATCCATGAGGCCCTACTTCATCTGCCCACTTTCTCCCATTACCTCTTTAACTTTGCTCACTCTCCTCCAATCACAACGGTACCTTTTTGTTTTTTTGAACATTCCAGATAAATGATTGTCTCAGGGCCTTTGCACCTACTAGGATAGTATGGCTTGCTTCCTCACTTTCTCTAAGTCTTTACACTCAAATGTCAAATTCTTGGGAGATCTTCTCAGATCACTCCATTTAAAATTGCATCGCTTGCTCCCTCACAATTCCTGTCACCATTTCCAGCTCTATGTTTCTTCCTAGTAGTTATCACTATCTGACGTATTTTGTGTTTTACTTACTTATCTTGATTATTGTCTGTTCCCCCTACTAGAATGTAAACTCCATGAGGACAGTAACTTTTGCCTGTTTTTCTCACTGCTGTATCCCCAGGATCTGAAATATTTCCTGGCACATAAAGGCATATAATTATGTATGCATTTCTCCCCTCTCCCACCCAGTTTAGAAATAAATGTTTACTCAGGGTGTAAAGCACGTGAAATGGAGCAGGAAAAGGTTTGGGGGGAGATTTGGGAAAAGTAAACCTAGAAGGTTAAAAGTAAGTGACAAGTTAAGATGCACAACTTAACTTTTAGGATGGAGACTAAAGACTTGCTATGTTCCCTGGCTATTTGCTTTGTGGTTACCTGTGAAGATCAGATTTAAAAATTCATGGCATATGACAGTTAGAAAAGCTCTTAGACAGCACCTTTACTTTCTACGTGGAAGTTTTGTTGGCAGGGTTTTCAATTATTCACTGCAAAAAGACATGGTCCACTTGGCTCACTTATGTTAATACATGACATTCACAATCCTGGAATGAGGAAACTGGCAACTAACATGGGGGCAAACCCTTTCACCTAAAAAGACCAAGATGGCATTGGGCTCTCCCATTCAAATGTTTTTAAGCAAAGAATATGTCTATAGTTATTATATCAATCAAACACAGATTCTAAGGAATAAATGTACTTTTTCATTTTTATTAGCTATCACCACCATGCTAATTTAAGACATTATTCCTTGTGGAAAAGAAATATTCATGGCTTCAGTTCACGTAAAAAGGGACTGAAATAGAGTACATTCTTTCCAATGAAGTGTTGGACTTTTAGTCATTGTAATCTCTTTGGCAGATAAGCAAATTGTGGGCCAAATAAAGAGCTAATGAAATTAGCACCATTTATTTTACTTAAAAATTTACTTTTCCCCTATGCAAGAATTAAGCTAATGCTAAAAACATTTAATATGTATAATGGTTCCAAAGCTTACATTCGTTATTTGGAGTGTATCAGAAATGGACCTGAGGTGGGTGATTGTTTCTGTCCCTTCTAGCTGGTCACTATTACTTCTAGAAACAGAGCATCAAGACATTTGGAGGGGAAAAAAGAAATTAACATGTTTCCCTGAATTTGCCTTTATGTATATTTTATTTAGGGCAAAATTGGGAATCTTCTCTGAGCACATGCATAAATTGACAATGGAAAAGAGGTGGCCCATATTAGTAAATGTATGAAAAACCCAGCATGGAGCTAAAAGCTGGTCAGAGATAAAATAGATCAGAGTATTTACACATTGCATGGTAAAAGCAGACATTACGTAATTTATTATGGGGACTCCAGCTCATGTTATATTATAAATTTTATCTTCAGTTTTTATTGTTGTTGTTAAATTTTTAAAAACTAGATGGACTAAGAAGACACACTTTGGTTCTCACTTTTCAGAGAAACTGAAGCATATACAGAAAAGGATGATGTATACTAATAGTATACAATAACTTGTAATAACTTATATATCAAATCAATAATCTAGGGTTCAATTCTGAGGTAACTGTGTAAGAGGCTGATCTTTTTTTTTGTTTGTTTGTTTTTGTTTCTGGTTAATTTGGAAGAAAATAGTTTGTAGAGTATAGGTTTAAACTAAATTTCTGAACACAGAGATTTTTGTACACAAAGACAGTTGACCCTCTTTCTCTATGTAGTTTTCTTTCACTTGGCTTTAAGTTTATTAATTTTTTTAAATAGTCATATATTTAAGAACAAACAGAATGGGGGGAAATAAAAAGGCTTTATTGGCAATATTTCAAAAATAAAATTTAAAAATGCTCCAAAGAATGAGATACAAATCAGGCCAATTTAAATAAATAGTAAGTGTTCTGTCTTTGTTTCTTTTGGTAGAATATAATTTTTCTTGGCTTTGATTTTAATATTAAAAAGAAATATAAGTGTGCATATTTAGTAGCTCTAAGGTCTTCACAACTCATATCCTATAGTCCTATAAGCTCATGATTGGAATTATTATTATTATTATTATTTTACATAGCAAAGAAAAGAGATGTGGTATTTCCTAACTGGCTACAAGTAAAAATTTTACAGAATTTTCACTTACCACAAGACCATCTTGATTTTCATTGAGTTCAGAGAGTTTGGAACTGGATTTCTGACGTTTAGGTTTGCCCCTTTCTCCAACACAACCAGAAGTATTTTCATACAACTTTTCCACTTCCTGAGCACTCAAAATACAATCTTCAAGGCTGCTGAACCCAGAAGGAATATTTTCTTTGTCGATAAGTCCCCTTGAAATTAAAAGAAAAACAAAAAACCTTGATTTTATTTTAAAAGGTAAAAGGGACATTTTAATGACACTGTCACTGCATCACATGGGAAATCAGGAGGGTGCCCAGAAATTCCATTTTGCCTCTTTGATCAAAATCTGAGCACAGTGCTACTCCTGAGACCAACTGGTGCCAAATAAATCACATTAAAAGAGAAATTATTCCTAGAGGCAAATTGGCAGGGACTGTGTTTCTACCAATGAACAACTTTTGTATTTGTACCAAAAGTAATTTGTATTCAAACAGAGAGAACAGTGCAAGCTTACAAAAAATCTTCCCATTATTAATAAATTACACCCCCCCACATACACATTTTATAATCCAATGTGTGAAGAAAAATCTGAAAAGGAAATATGTGTCTTTTTCTCTAGAATGGGACATGCTGATTTTTCCAAATGACGAAGACATTTCAGCATAGTAGAAAAGCATGAGTAACAGAATCCAACTGCATTTGATAGTCTTGGTAGAAATAGTATAAGTTTATAAAAACTACAGAATACACAATATTAAAAAAAAATTTTTATGTTTATTTATTTTTGAGAGAGACAGAGTGTGAGCCGAGAGAGGGGCAGAGAGAGAGGGAGACTCGGAATCTGAAATAGGCTCAGCTTAGAGTCTGACGCGGGGCTCGAACTCACGAGCTGTGAGATCATGACCTGAAGTCAGGGGCTCAAGTGACTGAGCCACCCAGACGCCCCCGGAATACAAAACATCTTAAGTTAAATATGGATTTATTACTTATCAGTACAAAGTTTCATGATTTAGTTTTAGCTTCATGACTTAGTTTTAGAAGTAGATATGAATGCCGTAACTATAGAATTTAATTCACTTGGGGCGCCTGGGTGGCGCAGTCGGTTAAGCGTCCGACTTCAGCCAGGTCACGATCTCGCGGTCCGTGAGTTCGAGCCCCGCGTCAGGCTCTGGGCTGATGGCTCAGAGCCTGGAGCCTGTTTCCAATTCTGTGTCTCCCTCTCTCTCTGCCCCTCCCCCGTTCATGCTCTGTCTCTCTCTATCCCAAAAATAAATAAACGTTGAAAAAAAAAATTTAGAATTTAATTCACTTAATATTACTGAAACAATGAGTATCTTAAACATTCCCTCAAGGAGTTTTCACAAAATTAAATTACTTAGCAAATTATTTGTCTTTTACTACATCATGGAACAAATTAAGCCATCAGTATAGTGTCATGGCTTGCCAAAGTACAAATGAATGAGATCTCTCCCTTATTGTATGACTAAATTAAGGTAACTCCCTACTACTCATGGAAATACATGAGCTCTAAAGAGCAAAATTGATGACTACATTTTACCATCAGTTCAACCAGATCCCAAAAAGAAAGATAATGTTAAATATTTATTCTGCAATCTAAATTCATATCCTGTTTTAGATGAGCTTATCATGGAGGCAAAATTATGAATTAAATATTATACTATCTTAGACTATCTTGGTGATTTTTAGCACTCCACATTTAATTTAGTCTTATTTTATACAACTTTTAATGTAAAAACATATAGACTTAGTAAAAGTATATAAAAGATTGATGCAACAGTTATTAGAAATATCCTAAACATAAAATAACAGAAGGCATGAGAAAGCTGATAGGGGCTAACATGCTGGCACATATACTCATGCAAACACTCTTAAATCTTCCCCCTTCATGTGCTGAGAGAGGTGCCTTTTATGGATAGTTGGATGAGTTTGGTATCAACTTCAAAAATAGTTGTTTTACTATATAAAATCTGTCTAATCGCTCTTCTGATTTCCTCTAACTCCTGGGGTATACATCCTACTATTATTTTTTTAGTGGGGGTGGGGGTTTATGTTTGAAAGCTCTTAGGACAGAATTGTTTACCCCCAAATTCCTATGTTGAAGCCCTAACCGACAACGTGACTGTTTTGGAGACAGGGACTTTACAGAGGTAATTAAGGCTCACTGAGGCTATAAGGGTGGGGCTCTACTCCGTTAGAACTGGTGTTATTATAAGAAAAGGAGGAGACACCAGGAAAGCATGCACACAGAAGAAAGGCCATGGGAGGACACAGAGAAGGCACTGTCTGCAAATCGAAGAGAGAAGTCTCTCATCAGAAACCAACCCCATCTGCACCTTGATCTTGGACTTCCAGCCTCCAGAACGGTGAGGAAATAAATCCCTATTGTTTAAGTCCCCCAGGTAGTACTTTGTGAAGGTAGCCCCAGCAGGCTAATACAAAAGCTAAAAACTAGTTTTAGAAATTAAAACACAAAGTTTATTTTATAATCTTTTTGAATAGTGAATAAATGACTGGAATAAGTCCTGTCAAAATAAATATATGAAAATCTGTTCAGTGTGTTCATGTGGAAATCCTGTTCTCTTCAAAAAAAAAAAAAAAAAAAAAAAAAAAAGGTCTCTGAGTCAACACCTTTCAGCCACAGTACAAATGTGACTGTGAGAGAACTGGAATACAATTCCTGACTGCAACATTCGGACAGCTTTCAATCATACTGGACATCACTGAGATTTGACCTGAACTCAAATCTCTGCGGCTTCTCACTTCATCTAGAGTTTCTCCCTCACCCCTACATGCACACTTAATGTTCTAGTAATACCTAACTATTTATCGTTCCTCTAATAGTACAGCATAATTTTTTTCTTTTACTTTGAACTAGGAATTTAATATAATATTTGTAACAAAGAAATCTGTATATACATTTCCAGTTTATTGTGTATTGGACAGTTGAAACCACTTTAACTTAAATTACGCTTTGCCTTTTAGAAAGTATTTATTATAAAATTTTCACACACATAGAAAAGAAGAGAGACTCACAACGAACTTCCATATACCCCTCACCAAGAGTCAACATTTCCATGCATCTGGCAGATGGCAAGCTTTTTAATAAATGAATTAAACTGAAACCTTTCACATAATGAACATGTTCCTTAAACCTTGGTATTTTTATGGTAGCAAATAATAACATAAACCTGACGTTTCCTTTTAAATTTAAACAATAAATAATTAGCATTAAAATGAAATATTTACAGTCTATCTTTTGTATTTGTTTAAACAATGTCACAATGACTTTAGTATAGACTTTATTGGCTCTTTAATCTCATCCTGAAATATGGTCATCACTGGCTTTAAGGATATATTTTTTTAATTGGTTGCAGCTCTAAGTTGTTAGGAGGCCAAACAATAGACAAAAATATAATGAGTTTGTATATTTAAGAACTTTTTTTCTTTTTCTTTTTTTTTTTTTTTTTGAGGGGGAGAGGGGCAGAAGGAGAAGGAGAGAAAGAATCTCAAGCCGGCTCCATGCTCAGCACAGAGCCTAATGCGGGGCTCGATCTCACAACCATGAGATCATGATCTGAGCCAAAGCCAAGAGTCAGACGTTTAACTGACTCAGCCACCCAGGCACCTCTTTAAAAACTCTTTTTAGCCATTCCATAGAGTTATTAGTTTTGAATAGAATATATTAAAGTGTAGCTTAATTTTTATTTTTTAAACAAAGCCTGATGAAAATCTTTGATAAATGAATCAATTATGCATAAGTATATACTGAGAAAAACATACTTACTATAGGCTATGATAACGATTCTCAACCTTTGCACAATCAGTGATATGTCACTGTATCTCCTGGGGACATACTGGAGAGGACTTTCATGGGGACAAAAGTAGTAGGTCTGGGGCCCTGAGAGATAAGGGCCTCACTCCTCCACAGACCTGGTGAGCTCAGAGAGGCAGTGCAGTGTGGCGTGGAGGTTGAAGAGGAAGGACTATCAAGACACGCTAATTACCCAGCATGTCAGGTGAGGAGGAGGCCATATGAGTAGGAGGGCGAGGCCAACAGGGAACACAGGAAGGGGACTTCTGCATGCCCAGACCACACACCAAGGAGAAAGAGTAATGCAAGACTGTAAGTTACCTTGGCCACACACAGTTTGCAGCCCGAGATTCACTCACTCAGTGCACAACTTAATCTGACCACAATGAGTAAGCAGCATGAGCAGTGAAGGAAATTACCAGAGAAGAAACTTTAAGGGGAAGGCTGGAGTTTCGTGGATTGTTAGATTAGTCACCTTCTACCATTCTCCATCTCATTTGTTCTCCTGATATAGATAGTAAAATATGATTGAGATAACTTATATTAGAAACATTCCCAACTCTGGGAAACTAAACTCTGCAGGAAAGGTTACTTACTCTGTGTTTCGTATTTTTCTGTCTATCCCCGTTCACTGTGACCTTACCCCACTGTGCTGTCCCCTGCCTGCTGCCGTGCACCCACCATCAACACTTGCACTGTCTGTCTCTGTTCTCTCTCTTGTGCTTACTACCACTTCCATCCAACCTCAGCTTGCTGTCCACCTGTCCAAACAAAGAGAGTGGAAAGCACGATGTCGTGACACACTAAGACTACTTTTAAAATGCAATGTGTTGCTACATACTGTTTGGCAAAAAATGAGGCAGAGGATATGAACAGTATTAAATAATTTGTACTTGCTGTGTAACATAATTTAGGCAGTACACAAACTAATTATACTCCTAAACATTTTCTATAAAGCTTAGTCAATAGCTAATTTTAAACATAAATACCTCCCGTATTACAATTTTTCTATTCTCTAAAGGTAGTATTACACAGCACCCTCTCCAACCCAGCAGCTCCAAGACAATTAAAAAAAATTTTTTTTTAAATGTTTTTATCTATCTTTGAGATGGAGAGAGACAGAGCATGAACAGAGGAGGGTCAGAGAGAGAGGGAGACACAGAATCTGAGGTAGGTTCCAGGCTCTGAGCTGTCAGTCAGCACAGAGCACCACGCGGAGCCTGAACTCATGGACTGTGAGATTATGACCTGAGCTGAAGTCGGACACTTAACCGACTGAGCCACCCAGGCACCCCTAAGACAATTTTTTTTAAAGTGCTGCCTATATCACTTAAAAAGTCAGTAGGTTATACCACTGATACTGTTTTATTTCTAAAATTACATTTGTTAGTATAGCTCTTAAACATCTTGACAATATGTGGTATGGTATTTATTTACACTACTTGTCTTTTGTGTCTTTCTTTAATCAAAAAGAAATCTCTTTTTTCCCTTAGATTTTGATGTAGATTATGAATCCAGGTAAAAAAGAATGAGGAGGACTAGGGTCTGATTTAGTCTTCGACATTTAATAAGGAATTCAAAACAATAACTTTTCAGAGACTAAATGCTAGGGTAGATAAAAATAAAACTTTTGGGAAAAATATATGAATATAACTTTATTTTCCGTGACAATTTAAATATGATTATTCGAAAATATGGACGATAATTATTTATTTGTATTTTCTCAAATCCTTGAAAATCTCAAATTCTTGAAATTCATGCTGTGGGAAAGCTTAAAATCAGTCACTATAATAATAAAGAACACAAACATTTCCTTTTCTGATTAGACTTAGGCTCTAAGTCTAATGTAACCAACTGTCAGAATATTACAGTGATATTCTAGTATTTAATCAGGCCAATATAGCAGGGAAATCTGTTGATTTCATAAGCTGTTCTAACAGCCAAATGAATGTTGTCTAATAAGAGAAAAACCACCTCTGGACAGGCATAGGGCCATTTTCTCCTCCAGTGGTTCAGCATCCCTCTCGATAAGATATTCATGAGGAAGCCATGAAATGTATTAAATCAGAGGTGGTTTCCTACAATATACATCTAGACAACATAAAACATCTAGAAAAAGCTGAAATATTCATTTAGCTGCCTACGAATTTCCAAAAGTTACCTTAGTTAGAATAGTCAAGGGCACTTGGGTGGCTCAGTCAGTTAAGCATTTGACTCTTGATTTTGGCTCAGGTCATGATCTCACAGTTTCGTGATTTCAAGCCCCACACCGGGCCCTGTGCTGACAAGTGCAGAATCTGCTTGAGATTCTCTCTCTCTGCCCCTCCCCTGCTTGCACTCTCTCTTCCTCAAAAACAAAAAATAACAAACTTAAAAAAAATAGTCAAAATGAAACTTTTAAAGTTTTAACCTGAATACTGAAATGGGAATGGCTATAATGCAGTGACTAATTCAGGTGTATATTTTTAAAAGGAGAAGAGAAAATCGAAATAAGAGGCACCAATGCCAACTCACACATCTCTGCTGCGTCGAACTTCATCCTGCTCTTTGGACTGGCGGCGGCGCTGTCTGGCAGATGTGGAAGAAGACGCTGATGATGTTCCAGACTCTGAGTCCTCTGAACTTTGGCCTCCAGGGCCATTAACATCAAAAAGATGCTGCTCTACTGCTGACCGGATGGTTCTTTCTAAGAGTCTAATAAAAAAAGAATACAGAGTCACTCAGGTAATCAAATTTATCAATGATTGTCTTTAAAAGTTTGTATCTCTAATTTTGGAAAATCTGTATTTCCAATGGTAGATCTACTATAGTTTCATGAACAGAGATAGCATATGAGACATCTCAAAATATCTGTATCGTGTGTTAAAGATAAATCCCAACCTAACAAATCCTACCAATTTGATAACCGTGTTTCTCATCTCTGTAGGTCCAGGATTACTGAAATGCTCACAGCAAGTCTAGCAACAGTTATCAGAGGCCATCAGGAAATAAGGGTCATTTATATAAGGCAGAATGAGGAAATATTTTTTTCCTCATAGAATAAGAATAGACCTATTCTTATAAGGGTGAGTTCCTCCAGATGTCATACCAGTTCTTTAGAGGAAGGCAGTATGGTTTGTGAAGCAAACTGGCACAAATAATTTTATGATGGCTATTATCTATTTAGAATCCCTTTAAAGATAAAATTATGCAGGGAATAATGCTATTAAAAAGGAATACCTCATGAGAACAATTACTACTTAGAATAGCAAAATCTTTCTGAACCTTCATTAAATTAAATTGTGATGTATACAGTTGAAGCTGCATTCATGCAAACATCCCAATACTCATTACTGAAGATGGTAGGATAGATTTCCTTCGTCCAACATGAAGAAATACTTCAGTACAGGGGCTAAAAAGAGTGCATGATGGGATAGATAGGGTATCCTTTCTAAAGCTGTATAATCTTTCAATGTGTCCAAACTTCTTTTATCACCACACTATTTAATTCTAAATAGCTGGCATGGAAAATTCTAAACATATTCTCCTCAAACCACATTTTTCTGCACTTGAAAAAAGAATCGCATCCAAACTCATCAAATGGTACACATTAAGTATGTATCGTTTTTTGTGTCTCAATAAAGCTATTAGAAAATTTAAAAGAACCATGTAGTTTTAAAATGTTCAGATTAAGAAAAACATTTGCTTAAATAAAATGGGTTTTAAGAAATTTAAGAACTTGAGATTTTCCAAATGTAGTTTTCTACCAGATGCATAGTAATTTCATTAAAACTATTTGTAGACATTGAACAAGTATAGTCTAACTTGGGCATTAGAACTTTTATATTTAGAACTCCATACCCCAATGATTCAAGATTACCTAACAGTGGCATGCAGGGATGTCAGTGAATTAATATGTACATACAAACCCATCCCACACCTTTTCCAAACTATGTAAGATATAAAAGAAGTAAAGGTTGTCAGGAAACACATAAGCAAGAACACATCAGTCTTGGTATATTTCCGGAATTTCTTTAAAATTCACAAAGCTAAGAGAGGTCAGTCCTGCCCTCTCACTGCTTCTTTACCTAACAAAGAAGAAAAAAAAAATCCCAATTTATCCTGTTGGATCCAAATTCATACTAACTAGTGCTTTTTTAAATTCTCTCTACTTCCTTATCACATCTTCCCTCCTTTTCTGCCTGATCCCTGTTGATGGAAGATGCTCTAAAAATGCCCATTTATGTCTCAGGAAGGAAGGAAGGAAGGAAGGAAGGAAGGAAGGAAGGAAGGAAGGAAGGAAGGAAGGAGTGATGGAAAGTCTTTGAGCAAGAAACTATTTATAAATATTTATTTAGTGCCTAATATACATCAGGCACTTTTCTGTATGTTAGGGATACAGCCATGAATATGACAGACAAGACCCCTGTGTTTATGGAGCTTATGTTGCTGCTATGAGGCAAGATGGGTAATAAACAAATCGTGAAATTTCAGATGATGATAAATTCCCTCCAAAATGGAGTCCAGGATTGGAGAGTAACTGTGGATAGTCAGGGATGTCTTCTCGGACGAGAGGACATTGGAACAAAAAAGTGGATTATAGGAAAATTAATGGCCAGGCTGAAAAACAGCCAGTACAAGGGCTCTGTGGCAAATACACGCTTGGCCTATTCCAGAAAGAGAAGGCCACGAGGTTGAAGCATAATGAGCAATCTAGTCAGAGAGGTAGGCAAGGGCAGGTAACTGGAGTTTAGATTTTAGACCATGTGTAACTGGTGGCCTGAGGGAAAAAAAAGGCAGATGATGAACATAATCAATAGAACACTATTGCTGCCCTGTGGGGAAAGGATTTGTTGCCATCATTATTTTGCTTTTGATTCTGTGTGCCTATTGGGCTGTAAAGTCCCTGAAGGCAGAGCCCAAAGCTTATCTGACATTACACACTTAACACTCTGCTTGGCATAGTGCAGGTACTCAATAAATGCTGGCTGATTAAACATTATGAGGGAAGAAGGAAAGATACTGTTACTACTTTAGCCTTTAATGACATCCTTCATTGCAAGATACCTCCCCCAACACACATTTTGCAAATATTAATAGACTATGACATTATTTTGACTGAAGCAAACATCTTGCATGTTCAGACGGTTGAGTCGTCTCTAGTCACACACCCACGCAGAAGCTCAAACAGGAACACTTCTTATTTAGTCCTCTTCTCGGGTTTTAAAAATAATCATTGGTTGCTTACTGTATTAATTTCCCAATACTATACACCATTAGAGTAGCTTTTTTTTTTCTGTTTGATAAATGGGAAAGGAGGGGAAAAACTCCAATCCAAAAAACTTACTCTCCAGTTGTTGAAACATTGCTGACTTGGGATACATGCGTGCTGTGGAAAAGAAGCACAAAGAAATAAAGTCAGATTAGAGCACAGAGACTGTGAACCCAATGTCTGAAGGGGATTCCAGGCTGAAAGTATCAGCCAGACTCTGACTATTCTCTGTACAATGTTTAACCATCCACTGACAGATGCTGATTTTCACTTATTTCTAGAATTAGAGGATGGTCCTGGGTGTTTACTCCTGAAAGGTGCTTCCCTCTGCCCCTCCATTTTAAAGATGTCTATGACATAGAGTTCTAAAGTGACCTTTACAAACCATCTCTACCCTCTAACCCTACCACCACAGTTCTAGTTCAGGGTCTTTTCATTTTCCCAAAATGTTAATACAATGTTGCTGACTGCCTTCCTGCTACCAACTCTACCCATTCCTGGCGCTCCCCAGCCCAAATCTGGTCCCTCCTTGTCCACCTCTTCCAGATGTGCATACAGAAGCAGCTTTCTAAAGCTGCTCTGAACATGCAGACAGCAGCAGGAACCACAGGGGACAGAGAAGAAGGAAGCAACACTGGTTTCTACAGGACTATTTCTAAGCCATCTTTTCTTCTGAAGTTCCTCAAGATGGAGAATCCCTCAAGCTCTACAATGTTTCATCTCAACACCTAATTTACAGCCCTTTTATTGAGCATTTATAAACTCCTTCTACCTCCCCATTTTCTCCAAAGCCTGAATTCCTGCAAGAGCATTACAAAGTAGTCAAACGTTAAGTGGAACAGTGAGATTATAGAACACTACCTGATCAGCACACTCTGGAACTTCTCCCCTCTTGCTTGCACCCTGTGTTCATATAACCACAGTGAGGGTTGAAGCTAGCAAATACTTTAGCAGCATCAATACCAAGACTTTCTCACAGTCAGCCTTTCAGTGCTTAGTCAGCTTCTAAATCAAAATTCAAAAGTCTGCTTAAAAGAAAATCCTTCATGCTTGTCAAACTACAGTTTTACATAACAGATAAAACAGTGCCCTTTTTTCCTCATTCTTTGTAGAAGACACCTGAAGAAAATGACAGTCCTTAATGACCAATACTGATGGCAGCCTTTTAAAAAATTGATTTTTTAAACCATCTGTTGGGTTTTTCTTCTATGTACATGTGTATCTCATCTCTTTCCATTCTGAATCTAAGTGCCTCAAGGGACGGTATGACACTTCTCCTTTATTGCTATTATGCTCCCTACCATCACCATTATCATCAGACAGAGCCTAGCACTTATTATCCCAGAGGTGATCAACACTTACTCTTTAGCCCAGAGAATTTCCTTTAAAAAAGCCATAGCTATTTTCACGGCCACAAACCACAGTCAAATCCCGGAAGAGACCCCAAAAATAATGCTATTGTTCACAAGGGAAACTGATGTGAAAAATCTCAATAAATGAACAAATGAACAAATGAACAAATAAATACACTCTAACACTTACTGAGTACTTAGTATGTTTCAGACACTGTGCTAAGTATTTTGTACATAGATTTTCTCGTTTGCTGTTTACAATAGCCCTCTGAGGTAGGTACTATTGTTTTCTCAATTTTCAGATGAAGAGGTTAGAGGTTAAGAAACTTGCCCACAGTGACAGAGCCAAGAAGTAGATGAGCTGGAATTTGAACCAAGAAAGTTTTAGCTCAGAGTCTAAGCTTTTAATCACCACACCAGATATTCAATCCATCACTAACTAGAAGAAAAACTCACTAGAATCATCTTTGTAGATGGAGGCTTGGACTTAGGTATTTTACTTTGCTTTTAATCACAACCATTTTTTATCTGCTTCACAATGCCTGTTATTCACAGTGGTTCCCAGGTTACATAACCAATAATATATCCTTTGCTGTTCTCTGTCCTTAACTGGAACAGGCAGTTCCTGCTTTTGATGCTTTGTGGCTCACCCTCTGTAAAGTCAACACTGTATAATTAACTCCTGCATTTCACATCTCAATGCAGTTGCACAAGCTTAGTTTTGGGAACATGGACCAATGTGAATGATGACTCCAGGAGAATACAGAAGAGGGAGAAAATGTGGATCTGCAAGATGCTAAAAATATTCCAAAGACATGTAAGTATAATCAGCCAATTAGTCCTCCAGGCCATCTCAGAATGAGGAGATGTACATCCTTTCTTCTCTTCTACATACTTTTAACCTGAACTTCTTTTTGCTTATTAAAGCACATGCTGATATTTTTATGTTCCTTTTGGGGGGCTGGGGGCCAGGACACAAAAAGAAAGGTGAGGAAGAAAGAGACAAGAAAATGACATCAAGTAGAACCAGGTTTTGAGATTACTAACTGAGGAAGTGCTTCTCAAACATTAAGGCATAGCTGAATCACCTAGGAGCTTGTTTACAAACAGACTCTCGTTCAATAGTCTAGGTCTCAGGAAGGGGACTGCCTTTCTAACAAATTTTACAGTGATTTTGAGGCTGCTGATTTGTGTAAGACATTGATTAGCAAAGCTGTAATTCCCTGCAACTAAAATTCTTCAAGACTTCAATTACTTGGATATCACAATAGCTATTTTTAAACTTTCTAATCTAAGTAATGAGGGTATGAGTTGGAGAACTTAGGCTAGCATAAGTGAATAAAAGGCAATATGTCGGGGCGCCTGGGTGGCGCAGTCGGTTAAGCGTCCGACTTCAGCCAGGTCACGATCTCGCGGTCCGTGAGTTTGAGCCCCGCGTCGGGCTCTGGGCTGATGGCTCAGAGCCTGGAGCCTGTTTCCGATTCTGTCTCCCTCTCTCTCTGCCCCTCCCCCGTTCATGCTCTGTCTCTCACTGTCCCAAAAATAAATAAACGTTGAAAAAAAAAAAAGGCAATATGTCAAAATTTCCCTCATAGCTTATAACCTAAGCCATCTAAATCAGTCTTGTAAAATTTATTATTTATTTTTCAATGTTTGTTTATTTTTGTGAGACAGAGACAGAGTGCCAGTGGGGAAGGGCAGAGAGAGAGAGAGAGAGAGAGAGAGAGAGAGAGACACAGAATCTGAAGCAGGCTCCAGGCTCTGAGCTGTTAACACAGAGCCTGATGCAGGGCTCAAACTCATGAGCCATGAGATCATGACCTGAGCCAAAGTCGGCCGCTTGACCAAACGAGCTAGTCAGGTGCCCCCGAATCAATCTTTTTTTTCTTTTTAATGTTTATTTACTGATTTTTGAGAGAGAGTGCGTGCACAAGTTGGGGAAGGGCAGAGAGAGAGACACGCAGAATCCCAAGCAGGCTCCATGCTGTCAGCAGAGAGCCCAATGTGGGGCTCGAACCTACGAACCATGAGATCATGACTTCAGCTGAAATAAAGAGTCAGATGTTCAACTGACTGAGGCCACCCAGGCACCCCAACATAAATCAGTCTTAAAGAGCCATTTTCAGAATGCAAAATAAATGAATAAATCAATAACAAAAACAAGTAATTAAATCATATTCAATTTTGCATATATATTGATCTTAGGTCAAATTTATGATAATTTAGTTTCTTCAACATTCCTTTGGAAGTTTTGGTATACTTAGCATGCCCATGTTTTCATGTTTTTAAAACAGAATTTGTGTAAAGCAAGTATTCTGAGAAGAGAATATTTTCCATTGGAAATCAAAAAAGGGAAGTTCTGGTCTCAGCTCTGCAGTTAATAAGCTGAAATCATACATTGTCAGTTAGCCTGGCTGTTTGGATTGGTTTCTTCCTACAGAAAATGAAAAGCTTGGCTACTGATCTCTGTGGTTTTCTTTTTAGCTCTAAAAGTTTACTTCCCTAAAGTTTAAATCATTACAAAAGGTTATAACTGCATAATGTTTTATGATAGTTTCAGTCATAGTTATGGTTTATTAAATACCAATATGGCTTTGGTCAGGTATCCAAACACCTCTATAGTTCCTGTGGGATAATTCACCACTAACAAGATTTCTAAGAATATTAAATGACAGAAATAGGGGTTATATTTCCATAGCTATAATTGACTCATGAAGGTAATTCTAAGACACTGATAAGAGAACAATAAGCAAATAAGCTAAAGTGAAAGATTTCCTTCAAGCCACATGTAGCTTGTTTTTTATCCTCTGCAGAAAGCTAAGAATAATGAATTCTATCAGAGCCCGTTGCTAACAAAATTTCTTACCATGCTATATAAACACTTGAATATGGAAGAGATCATATCATAATGTTGATAAAGCAAGTATTCAAAACTGAAAGAGGGGCACTTGGGTGGTTCAGGCAGTTAAGCATGTGACTCTTGATTTTGGCTCAGGTCATGATCTCACATTGGTGAGATGGAGTCCCCCTATGGGCTCTGCGTTGACAGCCACAGACAGAGCCTACTTGGGATTCTCTCTCTGCCCCTCCCCACCATGTACGGGCATGCTTTCTCTCTCAAAATAAACAAACATTTAAAAAAAAAACCTGAAAGAAATAAGCTTATATGCAGACTCCAGCACTATGGACAATTTCATTACCCAAGCCTGCTGTAAGTGACAGTGCAACTGCATTCACTATTGGTATAGTTATTTAAAATAGATTCTAAGCCTCCTCTGCAATATATTCTAAAATTTTGTTTAATGTTTATTTATTAAAAAAAATTTTTTTTTCAACGTTTATTTATTTTTGGGACAGAGAGAGACAGAGTATGAACGGGGGGAGGAGCAGAGAGAGAGAGAGGGAGACACAGAATCGGAAACAGGCTCCAGGCTCTGAGCCATCAGCCCAGAGCCTGACGCAGGGCTCGAACTCACGGACCGCGAGATCATGACCTGGCTGAAGTTGGACGCTTAACCAACTGCGCCACCCAGGCGCCCCTGTTTATTTATTTTTGAGAGAGAGAGAGAGAGTGAGCGAGAGGAAGAGGGACAGAGAGGGAGACACAGAATCTGAAGCAGGCTTCAGGCTCCGAGCTGTCAGCACAGAGCCTGATGCGGGGCTCGATCCCACAAACTGTGAGATCATGACCTGAGCCAAAGTCAGATGTTTAACTAACTGAGACACCCAGGTGCCCCTGCAATATATTCTATGACATACTTAAAT